TCTTCCCCCATTAAGCAAATTAAAAAAAAAATTCTTCCTCACAAAAAAAAACTCCTCCATTCATACTACAGTTCTCCCAACAAAGTAGCACATGAGCCGTGTCTAAAAATGCGTGTTGTTTTCTGCATTTTAAGCTCACGACCTCTCTGTCTTCATTCTTTTGGAGTTGTGGTTTGTCACTGAGTTAGTAGAGTTCTAAAATCTTTCAAAGTTCAAAGCTCCTCTTCTCTATAATGTATCATTGTACAAATGGTTCTCCTAATTCTCACTTCTCTCTACATCAATTCTCAGTTTCCTCAAGTTCACCATTTCTTATGACACAATTCTATTACAGTCATATATCAAAATGTGTTCAGCCATTTTTCCAGTAGGAAAAATGCCTTAGTTCTGTTACAAATATTCTGGTCCCTAGATCCTTTTCCTCTTTCTTCAGTTGGGCCTGGACATTCGAGGACTTCAATCCAACACTTGGATGCTGGTAGTTCCTTGGAGGGCACATTCAGTCTCTCACCTACCAAAGTTCCTTCCCTCCCCAATCTGCCCCAGTAGGTCAAGAGACCTCACCTCCCTCTTCTGGCAGGGCTAGGTTGGGCAAGAGTGTGTTTTTCAATTCAAAAAAAACCATTTATTAAGTATCTCCTATGTGCTAGGCAATATGTTAAGCACTGGGGATACAGAAAGAGGCAAAAGACAACTGCTACCCTCAAGGAGCTTACAGTCCAATGGGGGAGAAAACATGCAAACAAATATGTACAAAGCAAGATATGTATAGGGTAAATAGGAAGTCATAGAGGGAAGGCACTGGAATTAAGAGGGGTTGGAGAAGGCTTCCTGTAGGAGGTGGGATTTTTATTTTTTATATGACATTTTATTTTTTTCCCCAATTACATGTTAAAACTATTTTTTAAACATTTAAAAAAAGTTTTTGAGTTCCAAATTCTATCCCTCCCTTCTGCTCTGTAAGCAATCCAATATAGGTTATACATGTGTAATCATGTAAAACATTTCCATATTAGTTGTTTTATACAAGAAGACTCAAAAGAAAGTGAAAAATAGCATGCTTCAGTCTGTATTCAAACAATGTCAGTTCTTTCTCTGGAGGAGGATAGCCTGCTTTATCATGAGTCCTTTGGGATTGTCCTGGATCACTGTATTGCTGAGAAAAGCTAAGTCATTCACAGTTCTTCATTAAACAATATTGCTGTTACCGTGTACAGCATTCTCCTGGTTCTGTTCACTTCACTCTGCATCAGTTCATGTAAGTCTTTTCCAGGTTTTTCTGAAATCATCCTGCTTATCATCTCTTATAGCACAATAATATCCCATCACAGTCACATACTATAGCTTGTATAACCATTTCCCAATTGATGGGCATCGTCTCAATTCTTAGCCACCACAAAAAAGAGATGCTATAAATATTTTTGTACAAATAAGTCCTTTTCCCCTTTTTTGATATCTTTGGGATACAGACCTAGTGCTGGTATTACTGGGTCAAAGGGTATGCACAGTTTTATAGCTCTTTGGGCACAATTTCAAATTGCTCTCCAGAATGGTTGGATCACTTCACAACTCCACTAACAGTGCACTGGAGGTGGGATTTGAGTTGGGACTTAAAGGAAGCCAGGGAGATCCATAGTCAGAGCAGAGGAGAGAGAGCATTCCAGGCATGAGGGACAGCCACAGAGAATGCCCAGACCTGAAAGATGGAGGGTCTTATTCATGGAACAGCCAGGAGGCCAGTGTCAGCTGATTCAAGAGTACATGTCGGGGAGTAAGGTGTAAGAAGACTGGAAGGGTAGGAGGGGACTAGGTTAGGAAGGTCTTTGAATGCCAAGCAGAGAATTTTGTATTTGTCCCTAGAGGCAACAAGGACTCGTATAGCTCACATTCTCCCTATTTTCACCCTGACCAAGTGTCTCTTCATCTGTGTAACTAGCAAACTCTCACCTCTCTCTTTTTTAACCTAATGATATGAGAACATTGATTTTAATCCATGGTGAGTTTTTTCTTCTTCCTTTCTTAATTCCCAACAAAGTACATTAGCCATGTCTAAAAATGCATGTTGCTTTCTGCATTTTAAGTTCATGACCTGTCAGGAGGTGAGGAGCAGGTTTCATCTTCATTCTTTTGGAGTTGTGGTTAATTCTTTAACGCCCTTAATTCTTTAGCCTTCTAATCCTTTTGCTACAATTCCGGACTACTCGGTTCCTTTGTAGCTAAAGACTTCCTCTTGGCTCCCTGAAATATTTGGTTTTTGATGCTAAAATTCTGATTTAGCCACCATACTCTGGTGATTGAAATATGGGAGAGCAGCTTTGGGCCTCGGCCTGCCTCCCTGCACTTGTTCACCTTCTCTGTTCACCGGCACTTAGGGTTTTGATGACTATGGTTTATACCTTTGATCTTGTCTTGTTGCTACACCTACAACGTCTAGATTGACGTCATAAGAATGGGATGGGGGGAGAGGAGATATCTTGGCTTTATCTCTGTTTACTAAAATATCTTCTAGTGTCTCCACTGCCAACAATGCTTGCTAGGCCCTTTATCCAAGTTCTTTCGGGTGGTTTTTGTTCTCTTTGGCACTTACGTTTATGGTTTTCCTAATGTTAACCATCTTTATTAATCTAACCTAGTTGTGGTGAATCATTTTCTAGACAGATTGCTCCATAAGGATTTTATTTGCAAATTCTGCATCAATGTTCATTAGGTAGGTTGATGTCTTCCTCTGTACACCACATATGCGTCTCTCTGTAGCTATCTCAATATAACATCTAGGATGTTAGAGCATGGGGCAGTGGAAAGAGCACAAGTTTGGGAGTCAGAAGACTTTAAATCTAGGCTCTGCTACTTTGTGCGACCCTGGACAAGTCACTTAACCTCTATGAGCCTCAGTTTCTCATTCATAAAATGAGGAATCCAACCAGATGGATCTGAAAGGTCCCTTCCAATGCTAAATCCATGATCCCATATTTTCTGACTTTATCTGTATTCATGGATCTGTGTTTCTATGCCTGCAATGTTCTCCCTTTTCGCCTTCATCTCATAGAATCTCAGGCTTCCTTCAAGACTGAGCTCAAATTGATGTTGTGTATGTGCAACTTCATCCACAAGAAATGGTGAGAGAATGCTTCACAATAACTCACAAACTTCAGATCTCCTTCAAGGTAAAGTACCATATTTAATGCAGTAGACGCTGCAGGCTGGCCTATGTTTGGGCCACCACCACTATTCTTGTAGTATTTATGCATGTCTTCACCATTTAACATTTATAAAACTATGCTACCGTTTTTATTAGGTTTCTTTCTTTAATGTGTTTCTGACAAAGCGTTTGAGTATTACGGCCCCAACCCCCTCTTCCCCATTAGCTTTTGGTTTTATTGTGCATTTTTGTACAGTGCAGTAATTTTTAGGAATGTATATATCACATTATAGCCAAAATGGCTATATGAAAATACCGTATCCCCAATTAGAATGCACACTGCTTGAGAGCAGGGACTGGTTTTGCTTTTTCTTTGTATTCTCCCACTTCGCACAGTGGAGGCAGCTAGGTGGTTCAGTGGACAGAATGCTGGGCCTGGAGTCAGGAAGAGCCAAATTCAAATCTGGCCTCATACAAGTACTACCTGTGTGACCCTAGGCAAGTTACTTAACCTCTGCCTAATCCACTGGAGAAAGAAATGGCAAACCACTCTAGTATCTTTGCCAAGAAAACTCCAATGGCGCTGGACATGATTGAACAAAAACAACTTGGCACAGTAGCAAGAACTTTATAATGAATTGACTAATGATATTGGTTTATAGTTCCCTTATTATTCCCAGATTTAAATGCTAGGTTTATATTTGTTTCATGAATTGAGTGTTAATAATGTAGGGAAGTCTCTTTGAAGAGGAACAGTTTGAGCTGGGACTTAACCGATGGCTAGGATCTAACAGGATCAGAGATTGATAGGGTCCAACCCCACGATGAGACTGAGAGAAGTTAAATGACTTGTCTAGAGTCTGACCAAGGCAGGATCAGCACCGAGAGGCAGAGGAGGGTTCCTGGAAGTCTTCTGTTTGTCTTAAAACTCTTCTGGGCTTTGTGGACTCAAAGTTCCACATGCTGATCTGGCAGCCAAGAAAGCAGATGTAAACTTAGGCTACATGGAGGAAAGCCTGGCTTGTCCCTAGCCTGTGAGGTATTAGAAGAGTGATTAGCCTTGTTCTGATTGGCTGCAGAGGCAGATTTAGGTTTTCTTTGAGGAAGAAGCTTGCTAAGCATTAGTGCCATCAAAGCAAAGGCTAGAAGACCACTTGTCGCCTCTGTTCTGGGGCTTCTTTTTGGAAGAAACATCTCAGTCACTGACTAGTGACTGAGGTCCCTTCCAAGTCTGAAATTCTATAAATAGTTCAGGTCTTAAAAATCTAATAATAGATCAATAATGGGGATTGGACATCAAAGTGACATTGTTAGAATTCTTCAGTGCCATACAGAGATTTACATCGGGGCCAACAGACTGAGAGCCTAGAGCATTCTAGATTGGTAGGATTGTCTAGAGGGAAAAAAAGGCAAAAATTGAGATAGCATAAGGGTGTGATTTTCTCTCTTGTAGTTGACAGAAAGATAGCAGATTTTCTTGGACTTGAATAATCCCAGTTTAACATATCAGATACACACTTGAGTGGGAAGAGAAAAAACAGGAGATGAGACAGAAAGGGGGCAGCAGGCGTGTGAACAAGTGAAACGCTACAGCCCCAGCTCTCTGCTAACCTTTTTTTCCCATGGTGCTGGTTCTCTTCACTATCAACAACCCTGAAGGGTCATGGTCCAGTTTGGCTCCAGACAACCATGAATCTAGGTATGTTCCCAGACCCATGATCTTAGCCCCAATAAGAATCACTTCCATGCCCCAGGGTACACCCATTGTTATCTGGAGCATCTGGCCTTCTGCAGAGACTCTTTGCAGAAGGCCGCTGACTCCCTGCACACACTTCCAGGAGGCTCTTGGGTTACTCTTCACCTGGGTACTTCTTCAGGGTCCTGGCTGGCTCCTCCTCTCCCCAACTCAGAAGGCAAGATCTCAGGTTCCCTACAATCAAAACATTTATGTATTGTTAAATCCAGTCAAACTTACATTTCTCTGAAACACAATGTTTGCATTTCAAGGTTTATCTTTTGTCTCAGTACCTGGACAGCCTTCTTTGTGTATTGGGACTGTGGCATTCCCCAGAGGTAAGTCATCATTATAAATGTAAAGTGACTTATTCAGGAAATCACTTATAAGCAAACTCAGAAACAGCAAATGTCCTGACGTCTATATCTCTAGTTACTCTTTTTTTTTTGGCTAGGCAATGGGGTTAAGTGACTTGCCCAGGATCACATAGGCAGTAAGTGTCAAGTATTTGGTCTGAGGCCAAATTTGAACTCAGGTCCTCCTGACTCCAGGGCCAGTGCTCTATCCCCTGTGCCACCTATTGGCCCCCTCAGTTACTCTTAAACAGGTAGTATAACAATAACTGTAGGTAGAGAAGAAGACAGCACTGGACCAAAAAGGAGTGGAATTTGCTCACAGAATATGTGTCAAGGGGGGCAGCTACAAATAGTTTGTGGGTATTATATAATTTATCTTGAATATCAGACCTTTGTCAGTGATATTTGATATAAAGATTTTTTTTCCTCTGATGGACTGTTTCCCTTCATGCAAGAATTATCTATTTTATCTTTTGTGATTTAGATATACATGTATGTATGTTTATATTATATCTATGCATACACACACATATACGTCTATATCTACCTATTTCTTCTTTGATTAAAAATGTATTCCTAGCCTTCGCTGTACAAGGTGCCTTTCCTGGCTCTCCTCTACATGGTATGCCTTGTATTATTCAGGTCACTCATCCATTTTGAGTCCACTGCAGTATGGTATAAGTGGCACTGAACCAGATGGCAGCCAGATTGCTTCCAGTTCCCCTAGCAATTCTTGTTAAATAGGAAGTTCTTTCCTGGGTGTTTTGGGGTTTATTGAACATTGAGTTCAGTTGTTTCTCTTTTTCTATGTCTAATCTGTTCCCCTGCTCTTTAATCATTATCATATTGACATCACTCTGAGATGGGAAAGTAGTTTCCTTTGCAATACTAATTTTTTTCCAGAGGAAATTTTATATTTTCTCTAGCTTTATAAAGCAGTGCTTTGGTAGTTTAATTAGCATTGCCTAGCCCTGAGCATCCCTCCAGTTTTTGAATTCATGACCTTTAAGGAGCTCTTTGTCTTAAGAAGGAAGGTACATAAAGTCTTAGATATGGAGACCATAAGACATCCACTGGATGTATTTATCTTACAGTCTCCACACACCAAATCTAGTTCTTGAGGTATCTGGGTCTTAGAGCTACCCTTAAACCAAGACCTGCCTCCTCAAAACATAAAACTACAGACCTAGGGAACTCAAATCCAAGAATATGAGACATTGGGACCTTGACATGTAGATAGCACAGGACAGATCTCTAGATCTGCATTTAAGGCCTACCCTCAAGACTGATCTCTGGGCCTTGAGCCTCACAACACAGAGACCTAAAATCACATCTTCAAGATGAAATATGTGGATATCACAGAGCAGATCTCTTGGTCTAGGATTTGAAGTATTGATGTCAGTCTGCTTACCTTAATTAAGTGCCTACTATGTACAGGATAAACTGGGGGTAATCTTGAGGAAAGGCTTCTTCCAGAGGATGGGATTTCAGCTGAGAGATATGGAGGGAAAGTGTTCCAGGCATGGGGGACAGCTGCCAACAACATGTGGAGTCAGGAGGAGTGTATCAGTGGAAGAACAAGGAGGTTAGTGTCACTGGATTGCAGAGTCTGTGAAGGGCAGTAAAATGTAAAAATACTGGAAAGGTGGGAAGGAGCCAGGCATATTGTGAAGGAAGTTTCACAACTGAGGGAAGGATAGATTGGAGTGGGAAGAGCCTTGAGGCAGGGAACCCAACTATAGCAGGCTCTATTTATTGCAATGGGCCAGAGGAGGAGGATGGTGATGAGGAGTCAAGAATGACACATAGGGTGTGAACCTGGGTGACTAAGAGAATAGTAGAATCCTCAGTAGTACTGAGGAAGATCAGAAGACAGTAGGGTTTTGAAGGGAAGATTGAATTTAAGATGTCTAAAAGACAACTGGAGCTGGAGGCTAGGAGTGGACCAGGAGAACTGGATAAGAGATGATAACTGAAACCACAGGAACAAATGAGATCCTAAAATGAAATAACACATAGAGAGAAAAGAGTCGTGGGGGCCACCCACAGTGAAAGGACCTGACCTGGATGAAGATCCAGCAAAGGAGAGTGAGAAAGTACACAGGTAGGAAGAGAACAAATAGAGATGATATCACAAAGGGAGACAAGAAAGTGGTAACAACTACAGGGAAGTCTAGAAGGATGAGGATCAAGAAAAAGGACATTAAATTTGTCAATTAAGAGATGATTAGTGACTTTAGAGACCAGTTTTGTGATTGCAAAAAATTTCTCCCCACCTCCCATGGCCCTCCCTTCCTTCCAATCATTTCAACCTAATATTTATTTAGTTATGAAAGCAAAACCAAACAAATGCCTTCCCTTTACAAAGTGCTTGATTTACATTTTCTTATTATGCAAAAGAGCAAACTGAGGCCTAGAGAGATTACCACCAGAAAAATACTCTAATGCTGCAAATTCCAAACAAGTAATGGTTAAATTTAACAATTCCACATAAAAACAACCTTAGAAACGAATGAAATAATGTTTCAGAGAGCAAAGGAGCTCAAGATGCAACCCCGTGTGCCATATCCTGAAACTCGGAACCTAATCATTAAAGGACATTGGGACATCCATCAGGAGGACCTGAGTTCAAATCCGGCCTCAGACAAGACACTAGACACTTACTAGCTATGTGACTCTAGGCAAGTCACTTAACCCCAACCAAAACAAAAAACAAAACAAAATAAAAACAAAAACAAAAAAAAGGATAGGACATTCCATTAAAGAGGCATCTGAAGAATTCTTAGAAAGAAGATGAGACCTGAATAATCATTTGCTTTTCAAACACCCCAGACAACAGAGATACAAGAAAGGTAAATAAATAGAGCAACCAAAGACAAGTACAAGAAAGTAACAACCAAGGACACAAAGAGATAAGGTAAAAACAAAAGGCAAATCTAAGAGAGGGTGGAGAACTGGCCTGAAAAACCCTCAACCAGCCCCTCACAAAACCCTGCCTACATGTTACTAAATCAAAGGATGAGAAGGTAAGATAGAGGGGAGTATGTCATATATCCAGATCAAGTCTAAGGTTAATAATGAAGGGAAAATAGTTTCTATAGTCTCTCAGGAAGAAGAGAACCTATATGAGAGTAGATGAGGAGGCAAAGGTGGGGAAAGAAATGGGGAAATTGTGTTTCAGCAGTAAGAGGGTACCCACTGAAGAATGCTCCCGTGAGAGAAGAATGATATTCTCTAAAGGAAGATTGGGACCTTAGTGCAAGGATTTGGTGCTTAGAAACCATGCATCCTACCTCAGCAGAGTTCTTGGCAGCAAGCGACCACCTGAAGAGTGGGAAGGTCATGGATCAAGGGACGAGGCTTCATGCTAAATGGGAAAAAATTACCATGGGGAGAGCAAAAAAACCAAAAATGAACTGCACAAACAGTGAAATAGGAAAAATTCCTACCATAGGGCAGTAGCTACTCTATCACCTGCAAGGCAGTAACATAGAAACTGTAGAGGGAGGAACTCAAAATAGGTACCTCAGAAGCTTTAATGGTGTAAGAGACTAAAAAAGTATAAGGACCATGAATCAAAGATGAAAAGTCTAGAAAGGCAGGGAATAATATGTAATGAAGAAAATGATAGAAAGAAAAAGGAACTGATACATTTAGTTCTGTTTACAGAATAAGGAAAAAATATATAAACCTAACTCATAACTTGAAATTGAAACAATCCAATAAAATTAAAAGGTGACAAATTGGATACAAAAACAAAACCCCACACTGTTGCTTACAAGAAATACACCTATAAAACAAAGACATACATAGAATGATATTATCTCAATAGATGCAGAAAAAAGCCTTTGACAAAATACAAAACTCATTTATGCTATAAAAAAAAACCCTACAAAGTAGAAGAAAGAGACCTTTTTAATATCATAAAAGCCATCTATCTAAAACCAAAAAGCAAGCATCATATGAAATGGGGATATATATGCTAGAACTGTTCCCAATTAATATGCCAGTAAAGGAAACTCTCCCCATAATTATTTGATATAGTACAACTAACAAGACAAGATAAGGAAATTCAAGGTATAAAGATAGGTAAAGAGGAGATGGAACCATCCCTGTACTCAGATGATAAGATAGTTTGCTTAGAAAATCCTAGCAAATCAGCTAAGATATCAATTGAGACAATTAACAGCTTCAGCAAATTTTTGGGCTACAAAATAAACCCTCAAAAATCAACATTTCTATATAATAACAAAATCCAAGATGCAGTGATAGAAAGGGAAGATAATATTCAGTGTTCACGACTGGGCCTGCCAATATAATAATGACAAAATGATACTAGAGTTAATTCACACTTTGAATGCTACACCAATCAAACTGTCAAAGGCATATTTTACAGAACTTGATTAAATAACAAAATTCATTTGGAAAAACAAAAGATAAAGAATATCAAGGGATAGCAACGAAGAGGGAAGAGCAGTTACTGTATTCTAAAGTAGCAGTCTTTGGATCCATCTGGTAATGCTTAAAAAATAGGCAGGCAGAACAGTGGAACAGACTAGACAAGGGAGAATCAGAAATAACGGAACTTAATAACCCACTGTTCAATACACTAGAAAACACGAATTATTTAGGAAAGAACTCCTTATTTAATAAAAAAACAACCTGGCAGAAATCAGGATTATACTAACACCTTATACCATGTTCCAAAATACATCTAAATAGATCCGTGACCTTAAAATTAAAGACTATACTATTAAAAAAAATTAAGCAGATCCCACCTCTCACAGATATGCATAGGAGATGTATGGGAAAAAATCTTTGTTATCACATTTTTCTGTT